GCTTTGTGCTGTGTTGCTAGTTTGGGTGTTCCCCGCTATCAGATGTTATAGCATCCCTGCCTTGGCTGTATTTTAGCTTCCATTTGCACCTATAATACTTGCTTGCTTCAGCCAGCTGTAGTATAACACACCTATAAATTGATCATCATTGTCCTTCACGCCTACTGGCGTATAGGGCAGCAAACAAATTGATGGGGAGGGAGATAGTTTTGGAATGCCTTGAGAGATGACCAGCATATGGGGATAAGTGCCATGGCTAGAATTGCACTGGCCTTTGATAGTCTTTCAGGCCAGTTCTTTTTCCTGAGGACTTGAGTAATGTCCCCATTATATTTGTTCTCAGGACAACCAGGAGTCCTTTGGCACCTTAAAGACTTAACAGACTTATTTGGGCATAAGCTTGGGTAAAAAACCCACTTCAGGAGATGCATTGGAGTCATCTGACAAAGTGGGTTTTACCCATGAAAGCTGATGTCCAAATAAATCTGTTATTCTATAAGGTGCCAAAGGATTCTTTGTTTTTGCAGATATAGACTGATATGGCTACTCCTCTGAGGATTGCTCAAGACAGTAAGTGTTGGAACAATTAAGTGTAAAAGGGATTTTTAATTAGACTCTGACCTCCTTCCATTCACGCCTATATAATTTCAATGGCTATCATTTTGGGAGAAGGAAGTTTTTGTTAAAGACTCAGTACATTTGGCACCTTCAATTAAGAAGTCCATACTCTCAAAATACTTCCTCAGAGAGCTTCCACCCAATGACTAGTATCCCATTCCTGATATTGGGGGGGATTAGATGACAAGCAGAGAAAAAACACAACTTTGAGAAAGTGACAAATACCAAGATACATTCTTTACCTTTCTTTAGCCATCACAGAGAAGGAAAAAGTATACATACACAATTTTTAGAAGTCTTTTTCAGCTACTAAGGGCCATTAGCCCCTCTGAAAAGCATAGGAATGGAACAGATATGAAGAAGTCCAGTCCCCTGCTCTCATGGCAGGGCTAAGCATTATTTATATCATTCCCAACATCCCCATGATAAGGAGAGTTTAAACTTCTGGAATAAAGCAAATTGGGTTAAAATCTTAAAATCCTTTTTTTTTTTTTTTTTTTTTTTTTTTTTTTTAAAGGCAGCTGCCTTTCTAATGTTAGAAAACTGGGATAATTTAACTGGGGTGGTAGGCAGGGCCATTTTTATCAATATGTAAAACATGCAGCCATGTGGGGCACTGAAATTGAAGGCACCAAATTATTCCAAGTTTCATAGCAGCCTATGCAGCTAGATGCTACGTATGGGCTCTGGCGGCCAGTCCCATCCTCTCCTCCCCATCCTGCATTTTGTTGGCTTGAAGCCAGAGTTTTGGCTGCCCACCTTCTCTCCCTCCTCTGCGCCTCCCCCCCATAGGTTGTGCCGAGCCTCTGCTCACCAGGTGGTGACAAGCAGTGCTAGCACAGGCCGGAGGATTCAGATGAAGTAGGGGACAGCCACAGAGCTGGTGACTGGTGGGATGTGGCATTTTCACCTTCAAAGTGCTCCTGCTTCTCTCCAGCTGGCAGCATTGCTGCTGCCTGCTCCTTTGGCCCCATCTGCTGTGTTGAAGCTGCAGGTGGGCTTCTCTGCCTGCCCTGCTTCAGGGTAGCCAACTCTGCCAGACCAGACACCATGCAGCCAGTGACATCTAGTCCACGAGAGTTGACAATCCTAGCTCCTACCCTCTCTGTGGGGGAGGAGTGCAGGTGTTTGGCTGCTTTGGTAGGGATGGCCCTAGTGGTAGGCAGCTCCTTATCCTTGTTATTATCTCACTATAACATCTAATGACATATTTCCCTCCACTCCACCCCATCATGAAAGTGGTATCACAATTGAAATGAGTCAGGACAGGTCTTTCTGGTGTCTGGGCTTTCAGCCTTTTGCTTTCCCCTGCACCCCAAAAGGGTGTGGGTATGAGGGAAAGTGTGTGTGTGGGGGGGGGGGAGAATCACTCACCCCTTGGTGTTCCCCATCCAGTGCAATTGACTATATGTGGAGGAGGGGAAGAGAGCTTGTGTTGCAACCTCTTAGAAAATTAGTTCTTTCTATATTATCTCTTGCAGCTGCAGCACTATGCCCGCTCTCCCCGGGTATG